CTCATATCATTCAACTGTCTTGCTACAATTGATCTTAGAAGACAAAAATGAGGATGCACCTAAACAGAAGAGTGCCTCACATGTTCTTCTCTTTGGCAAGGCAGTAAGAGTTTGCAGAATTAATTTTATTGTACGGCCAAAGCCAACAAGAAATAAAATTTCATGCTATTTCAATATCTGCAAACAAGACCATGCTAGAGATAACTGTAGTTTATGCACCAGGAAAACATGGAAGAGAAATTCTAGAAAGAATATAAGACCTTCTCCAAATGAAATCAACCTATGCTTGAATACTCAATAACATAAATGGCATATGGGAATATGGTAAAACATGATGGAAAATATGGCTGAAGATTAAGAACTGAAAGAGGCTAAAGGTGTGTACAATATCCAGAGGCCTAACAATTATGCATCATGAATACTTTCTTCCAGAAGAGGACTGGACGGTGCTAAACATATTACTTAGATGCTTTCTACATTGTTATTCAGTTCTTATCATGAAAAATGAAATTAATTATATTTTATCAGACTGGTTACTAATATAAAAGCCATGTTCTAATCCACAAAGGTATCTACAGTCAGACTCCCAATTTGTTAAAACAAAGATCAGAATGTGAGATTAAAAATGAGAAAATATACATACAAATAAAAACATCTCCAACTGTCTTTAGAATAAAAAAGTTAATTGACATGCATTAGCTATCTTGGGTGACTAAATATTTTTCTGAATGTAAGTCATCTTATGCACACCACCAAAGTTGATAATCATCAGGGAGAGAAATCTATTGATTTACTGGTGCTAAAAGTAAATAAAAGAACAGACAACACAAACTACTACTATTTCCTATGAAATTTAACTTACATAAATCAATCACTATAACCAGGGGGCAAAAGAGCTTAGAAACTGCCTCAACCAACAAAAAGTTGGTATACTTATCAAGTAACAACACAAATGAAAAGACATGGCAGGCAAAGGTAATGCTGCTTTAAGACAGAAAATAAAATAATTTGTAAATTCCTGAAGAGAAAGAAGATGCAAGATTATGAGCATAAAACAGTTAAGAAACAATGGAGAGACAAGTTTATAGAAAGTTTGTTAAGACTGAGAATAAGGATGAAACTGGAAGCTGGACAAGAAACACATAAAAATGGAAAAGACAGGTCAAGACTTTTATAACAAACTCTCTTCTCTACCAATGATAACAGAGCCATCCTATCTGGACTGGACAACTTCTAAATACCAATATTCTTAAGCTAATGCTATACGGCTGAGAACCATGGAACAGCAGCTTTCAAAGAATTAGAATTACAGATCACTCTACAATTGAGAAATGTGTAAAATGTACATATGGCTAGGTTGTAACATATTAGCAACAAAGAATTATCAACCAAGATGCATAAAAGATCAAGAGATGTATGACTAAAAGAGGAAGTAGACTAGTCATATAATAAAAGATAATTAAAAAAAAGGAATAACAGATGGATATGCCATGTGTTCTACTAGTATCAACATAATGTCAAGACATCTAGAGGAAAAGCCTCTAGCATCTAGGATGGACCCTCTGTAGAGAACATAGCAAGAGGTGAGAGATGTACAAGAGTTGCACAGAATGAAAAGATATGGAAGGGTTGTAATCTTGTCTTATTTGTGGGAGTACTCACATTGATGAGAACACAGATGCATGAAAGTACTTAAGTATAGCTATCTTTAAAAATTATATATAATGGAAAAATCATTTTAAACAGTATCTGAAAATACCTTTGATATTTTTTATTGTGGTTTTTACCTTTCTTTCACAAAACTTGGACAACCTTCATTTTTCCATGAGTTCCAATTTTCTTCAGTGTTTAATATATGCTGGAAAAAATACACAAATATGATTGATATCTGAAAAATAGAAATACTTAAAATTCTATATGGTACCAAAAATAACAATAACATAAGATACATACCTCTACCATTTTTGAAAATCTCTCTCCATCAGGGGGGTTTTCAGATAGTAGCTGTGATCAGAAAGCACACACTAAGCTTTCAACAACTTTCTGCGTCATATGAATGGTTTACAGGCAGAGACCCCATAAAAGTGTTTGTGGTTCCCGTACCTGAACTAATGTTATCCTTATTTTCCTATATGAGGCTGAAACTGTTAAATCTAGTTCATAAACAGAGAAAACTCCAAATTTCCAAGATTTTGATCACTGATGTCTTGTACTGAACTTACTTGATAGACTGATTTTGTAGTATCTTCAATCCACAGGGATTGCTCATCAGTTAGAACATAGTTTGAACTGCAAAAGAGAGCAAATATGAGGACAATGTAAGACAAAGGTGTCAAATCCATGGCCCACAGCACTCCCTAGTAAGGCCTGAACAAGATTAAAATGTAATTTGGAAATATTCAACTATGATAAATAAAAATATGATAAAACAGATGACACTAATATGTTTTTTCTAAGTCAATATGCAGCCCACAGGGATGGAACAAATATCACAATAATCTCTAAGCATAAATTATTACTGTAGCAAATGTGTCAAATGATGCCAGGAGGTTTTCCTAAATTTACTGTATCCTGAGAAGCGGTATGGTGTATACTGTAGAGACAGCCATCCCTGGAGTCAAGAAGACCAGGCAGATGCACACTAGTAGTGTGTGATGAAGCAAACTGTTGTTGTTGTTCAGTCATTTCAGTTGTTTCTGAATCTTCAAGACCCCATTTGGGATTTTCTTGGCAAAGATACTGGAGTAGTTTGCCATTTCCTCCTCCAGCTCATTTTACAGATGAGGAAAATGAAGCAAAGATGGTTAACTGACTTGCCCAGGGTCATATCATTAGTATCTGAAGCCTCTTTTGAACTCAGGTCTTTCTGACTCCAGGCCCAGTGCTCTATTCACTGCACCACCTAACTGCCCCATAACAAGCAAATCACTTAATTTCTTAGTATCCCAAGGCAAATTTCTAAAACTCTAAGTTACAAATGAGTTGCTTCTCTGGTTGTTTTTAGTACTGGAAAAAGGAGTTTCCACACTAGAACTTCATCACAATGATGAAATCAAAGATCAGCCCACCCCATTGCATTCTTAAAACAGAATATAAGATCTATATAGTTATCATATATCTGTGAATACTATATTTGATTTTTTATTTTCTGCATTTAATTCATAGCCATTATTGCCAAAACAGCCAGAGAAGCAACAACAGCACAGAGACACAATTCACTTTCGTGACTTTTTGCTGTTGCTATTTAGAAGAAATCTGTTTTTCCTATTTTCCGTAGCAATGAAAAGATATATAAAAATCCTACCTGCCTCTGATAGAAGCCTAGGCTGTTTACCAGCAGCTCAAAAAATAAAAAATAAACATTTAAACCATAACAATTTTGAGAATCATCTTATTATGTTTAAGTGGTTACTAACTCCTATTGATAGTCTCACTAGTCAGGGGACTGCTCAATTGAGGAAGCTGGTGGGGCATTTGGGCTCTTTTCCAGTGCTCACAGTAATACTACACAGGCTCTTGTCTGTAGTACAAGCAGCTGTGAATAATCATTTTCTCATTTCAGTTATAGCCACGACAAGATGATATTTATTTAATTAAAGTTAGAAATATTTACATTAGAAAAAAAAAAGAAATACTTACACTGGAAAACACTTATTAAGTTTTGTGACAGAATGAAATATGTAAATAAAGGAGGCCAGAAAGTGATAATCTTTAGACTTTTTCCCTGGCTAGTTGGACTGCCAAATTCATGGCTACTGAGTTAGGCCATGAGCTGACTTGGGATATATGGCTGGAAATGCTATAGAAGAAGTATGAATGGCAAGGCCCACAAAAGAAGACAAGCTGAGGTAAAAAAAATAGTGAGACTACTATTCTGACCTAAGTTGGGTAGAGGAAGGGACTGGGATACAAGGCTGTTTCATTAAGGTTAGATCTAGAATATTCACCCACCAGGAAGAAATGCACTCTTGGAGCAGCTAGGTGGTGCAGTGGATAGAACACTGGCTTTGGAGTCAGGAGGACCCCAGTTCAAATCCAGCCTCAGACACATAACACTTACTAGCTGTGTGACCCTGAGCAAGTCACCTAACCCTGATTCTCACCCCCCGCCCCCAAAATGTACTCTTCCAGAAAGTCTGGAGACCCCCACTGGTCAGGAAGGATATGAATGGACTGCATTAAAAGACAAGTGTAAAAGGACAGACTACAGATTCTTAGTAGGAACATATATTTGGCCTTTGGTTCTTGGATCTGCCCATTTTCTGATGTGATCTTTTCCTGGAAGTACTCAGATCCTCATATTCAGGGCTTGTGGGTTCTCCAAACCAAAAATAGTCACCAGTTTCCACCTTACCCGTCTTGGGAAAAGGAAAAGTACTTCAGATCAATCACCTACATAACTAGTTCTAGAGAGCTAGTTTCCAAATTATCTAGGGCAGAAGAAATAACCCAAATAGAACATCAACATATATGTACCATAATCCAATCCTTAGAAACCTATTTCCTTACAGCAGCAATACAGTTTTGGATAAATAAATCCCTGTTCTCTAGTTTTTTCTGGCAGGCACCTTCAATTTCCTAAGCACTAAAGTGCTTACTTTTTTTCTTAGTGCAAACTAAAGTTTGCACATAGTGCAAACATATGGTTGCTCTGTGTCCTTAATTCACAAAGGGGCCCCTTGGATACAGTGGAAAGAAGAAAAGACTAGGCAACCTAGGTTTAATTTTACTTGTAGCTAGCCTCATTTTGTAATTCTCGCTATATTTTTCAGGCTTCTGCTAATAAGTAATTTAATAATTATAATAAGCTTACCTTTTGAATTTCACTTGCCCTTTGAGGTACTGAAATAAAATGAGATACTGCAGAAGGATGTGACGACGAAAGTTACTATCACTCAGCTGTAAATCCATAAGCTATATGCATACAAAAGACAAACACAGTAGAAGAACAACAATGTTTACTTTATTTATCATAATAAAAGTCAAACTTGGCCTAAATTTATAGTTTTCTGCTACCAAAAAGTAAGATGAATAATACAACAATGAAGAATCCATTGAGAAAATATATTGGCCTATTTCTTATCATGTATGTATTTATCAATGACTAGCAATTGTTGTTTTTTTTATCCAGAGTACTGGGAACTGGGAATATACTGAGCAGAGATCCTAAGTTTCAGATGAAAGTCAACAAATATGAACTTCATCTTTCAACATAAAAGGAAACCAGGTAAAATACAGTATCTGTATAGATGGCTAATGGAAAGATTTAGAGGTAGAAAAATAATATTTCTAAATAGGCCATTTCATTTCTGGATAGCTCTAATTTTTACATAGTTTTTTTCTGACATCAAACCTATTGTTTTCCTCTTCCTCCCATTGCTCTTAGTTTTGTCTAATAGGGCCAAAGAGAACAAATCTAAACCTTTCTCCACATGACAAGCCTTTAAATATTTGAAGACAGCTTTCATTCCTCCTTCTATTCTTAAGTCTTATCTTCTCTAGCATAAATATCCCTGATCAATCTTCATATGTTATGAACTCAAAGCCCTTCACCTTCTTAGTTGCCTTCTAGATGACCTCCAACTTCTCTGGTAGGTAGTTTAAGATTATTATCATATGACTGTCAGGAAGACTTATACATGGGCCTAATCTCTTCTGTAAACCAACAGAATTGAACAAGTCTGTAATGTCCCTACCAGCTCTGAAATTCTGTCAATTACGAATTCTTGCCATTTCTGGCTTTCAACCAAAACAAGTATACTTAAAATGATTTTCTTATAAATGAAAATAGCAAGACTTCATTAATTAGATTTTGTGATAAGAAAGAATTTTTAAAACAGGACTTAGGCTGAAATTTAGCTATGCAATATTTGTGAATAAAGGGTTTGCAACATAACTGTGCAAGATAAGATTAAAAGGAAAGTAATTAAATGACCTAAAATTATTTTCAAGCACCTGAGAAACAACTACTTATGTTTAAAAAGCAACTTATAAGTAGAAAATATTCTTGTTTATTTGTTTATTTACTTAGTGTAGATTCCTAAAGATGTTCTTACCCTAGTTTAAATAATATGGAGCCTCAAAAAAAATTAATGTTGAAACGTTTTCTAGACCAATTAAAAAAAACAAAACAACACGAAATCAAACTAATCTTTCCTCAACATGTCCATCCTGCAAACTCAAATTAGAACTATTAATCAAATTGTAGCTTCCTTCAGATTGTACTGTCTAAACAGGGTTAGTTAACACATTTAACCAATTTAAGCAGCAAACATTATCATCCAACTTAAATACAGCATGAAAGAGATACAGGTGGTAAAAAGTAAAGAGCATTTTTAAAGTTGGGTATTTGTGAAAATGAAGATTGTTTTATACCTTTTCACTTGTTAAGAATTTTGCAAAATATACATGTTCTCCTCCTGTTTTCAATTCTTCTAACTTCTTTCTTGAGGCCTGGGTATCATCCAGTTTATAACTTTTAAAAACAGCTAAAACCTCTTCAGAATACTGCAAAATGAAAATACTAATTAATCTTATCTTCCCAAGTCACCAAATTAATCTGTTTCCTTGTAAATGTTAGAAAAATAGACATTTGCTGGCAATTGACTGCTTATTCATATATTATAACATAATTTGGAAAAATATGACTGAGATACTTATCAAATAGGATTTCTCACTATTTTAAAAAGTTAATTATCCCTCTTTTAATTTTTTATGTAGTTAGGATATAGAACAAACTGTAGAAAATCTTTGATATTTTACATACATCCTCTGACGAGATTAATTGTTTAAACAACTGTAGATGTAGAGAGAACCATTCATTTGGAGTCAGGAAGACATGGGTTCAAATCCTGCCCAATACACTGCACAGATGAGTGATGTTGGGCAAATCCCTTAGCCTCTCAGGAGCTCATCCTCCTCATTTCACAGCATCCATCCAACCTAGTATCTGATGAACTATTTTATTCTAATATTTCTTGTGAATAAAATGTAAAAGGAAAAAATAAACAGCAACATCAAATCACTTCTAGGCACGGTAAAGTTGCTGTTAAATTATCCCCATTGGTTTAATTTCCTCATTAAGTAAAATATTTCTTGAACGCTACCATGAGAATAATAACTTAGATTTGCATACTGCGTTTTAATTTACAAAAAGCTTTCACATCCACTGTCTCACTTGATTCTTGTGAATTGGACAGAAGACATATTACTATCTTCATTTTCCCAATGAAAAAACAAACTCTGAGAGGTTAAGGTGGTCCAAGATCACAGAACTAGTAAATGGTCTAGACAAGTGCTCTTTCCATTATATTCACACTTTTGTTGCAACTGGAACTTTTAAATCCAAAAGAAATTAAAGTCATTGCCACATGAACAACAGCTTAAATAGGAATTACATTTTAACTTCTGAAAATTGCACAATTGGAATAACATCATGAAATTAATGAAACAATTTACCTTGAGAAAAGTTTTCCATGAAATCTTCTCATAGCACTGTACAGGATTTCTGAAGTAATCCTGAAGTGACCAGAATTTTCTATATAGGTTGTAATCAATTGGAATGGAGCTAATGAAAACAAACAGTACATTAATTATATCACTCTATTTCTTTAGAAAGTATCTAAGGCAAATAAAATGACAGAATCTCAAAGCTGAAAGAATTATGGAAGTCATTTGGTCCAACCAGTCCCTGAATAAGACTCCCTTCTAAAACATAAGCCGTAAGCGATCATCTAGGCTTCGCTTGAAGAAAGCCCTCAAGTGAATGGGAGGTCTTCACTGCTTCCCAAGGCAGCCTGTTACAGTTTCAGATAATTCTAAATCTCAAAAAGCTTTTCCTTAAATTAAACCTAAATATGCCTCTGTGTCTCACACTGAACTTGCAGTTCACTAAAATCTCCAATCTTTCCCAATGAACTACTATCTAGCTGTGCCTTCCACAACATGCTTAGGTTTAAAAAAATCAACTTCAAAAGTATAAAATTTTACTTACAGTCAGATATATACATATGTCTGAAGATATACATACATACATATATATATATCGATATATACATATATATCTATATATCTATCTATCTATCTATCTCACATCCTCCGACCCCAGCTCCTTTTAAGATGTCATTTTTGTTTTTGTATTACCAACACCTTACAGAGTAGCTTGCACATTTAAGTAGGTGGGTTGTAAGTTTGCTGAACTGAAGTGAGAGCTAGTAAAACGGATTGAGGCATAAACAGAAAGTTAGATTATGAGTGCAGCTACTTATTTTCATAATATAGAGCCTATGGCTATAGCAATGGTGTAATGATAATACTAGGTTACATTAAGGATTACAAACAACAACCTCACAACAACCATGTGAGGTAGGCGCAAGTCAGAAGGACTGAAGAAGAAGAAAGGGAGGCCAGATTTTTGATTTCATGGGTATCGGGAATACCTACTGAGGAAACTTCTTTTTGCTAAGGTAGACTAGCTCTTGGAGAATCCTTAAGAAGCATTTAGGGCATTGAGAAGTCACACAGTCAGAATGCTAGAAGCAGGACTTGAACCCAGGTTTTCCTGACTCTGAAGCTTCCTTTTTTATCCATTATACTACACTGTCTCTCAAGAGTATTTAGTATTATTACCCTCTCACCATTTTACATTTGAGGAAACAGGTTCAGAAAGGTTAAATGACCTACTCAGGGTGATAGGTAGTAGGTGTCAGAGCTAGGACTTGACTGAGTTTTTTGACTAGTGATCTTTCCACTGCATTCCACTTCCTAATGAGTACAGAGGGTGACTCCCCATTAAGGGTAGGGAATGACCTGAAGAGGCTATCTAGTAAAACCTATAGCTCAATGCAAATCCCCTCAACAACATCCCTAATAAGCAGAAATCTACTTTTCACTAGAAGCCCTGCAGTGAAAGGGAACCCACTACCTCTTAAGATCATTTCACTTTAAAAATTCAAAGACAGGATGATGACAAAATTAAGTGCTTACTTTAAGATTTTTAAAAAATTACAGTAATACCTGTACTCTTTGATTGGCTATTTCTATATCTGCAATGCTAAAAATGAATTTATATATACAATTCCCTTAAATATGTGGTGTGTCTATTAAGTTTTTAATTAAACATATCAGAATTTATTCATCCAAATGTTGTTCCCTTCAAAGTGGTTACCTTGGAAGGCCATGAACTTATTCAAATGTTGCTGACATTGCTCAAAACATTTTCCAATCTCCTCTCTTGATGCTTACAGAACAATTTGTTTTTCTTTTTGTTTTTGTTTTTAATAGTCTCAGTGGAGGCAATATTTTTTTCTTTTGAAGGTGGATTTTGTTTTTGGAAACAGCCAACGGACAGCTGGAACAAAGTCTGGTGAGTACAGTCGTTCAGATCAAGCTGGGTCATGTCATTTTCAATCCAAAATAAGGTGTGACTATAAAGGAATGAGAATGAATTTCTGGTGTGGTTCTGAAGGCAATCCCAAAAGAGAAGCTCCAAAAATGTTCTGAGCAGTGGTAGTAAGTGTATAGCATCCCCAAGGTGACTACTCTAAAAGCTAACACTCATTTGGATGTATAAATTCAGTTATTTCATTAAAAAATCAGTCACATTAATTCAGTTACACCAAGCACAAGGAATATTAGACAAGCAAAACTCCAAATCCTTAAGTAAAAAACAATACTTGGTGAATATATACCCACTCACATACAGAATCACAGAATTTCAGAGCAAAACTCCATAGTACCAAAAGTCAAATTTTCAGTAACCTCATCTATCCAGAACACAGCTGTAAATAACTGAAAATAGCCTGTAAGCTGGAAGAAAACAATTGTGAAATCTATTCACTTCAGTCTTCAGGAAAGGTATAAAGACCCTGTCTGCCACAGAGCTCAGTATCTTAGAATGATATATAAATTAAGAGAAACAATTTAAGCAATCTGGCTGAACAAGAGTTCTCATTTGAGAGGTAGTGTAGAAAAGATACGGGGTCATAGAGGAGGTTATACAGAGGAGATAAGAACTATAAAAACCCAAAAGAAGAACTACTTTTTTAAAAAGCACAACAGTCTGGAGTCATTTACTGAGCCCTATGAACCTTGAAAGCTATCAACGGTATTACTACATTGCTCATTATTTTAAAAAATGGTATGGAATGAATGCTGGAGCTAGAGTCATAAGACACTTAGGTTTAAATCTCATTCTGACACTTAATACGTGACCATGGCAAAATTGATTCATTTTTCAGGGTTTGGAGCTTTCTCAACTGTAAAATGGGATTATAATGCCTATAAGTACCTACCTCACTGGACTACTAATCTGAGAATCAGAGGTTAGCAAAGGTTTTGCAAATCTTAGGAGCACTACAGATGATCTCTAAAGTTTTGCCAAGAGCTATAATTTTATGATTTTATGACTCTAAATCCTCATTTATTCACATTCTTGTGAGCAAAATGAGGGACTGGTTGGGAGTGGAGACAGGAGGGAGAGGGCATCTACCAAAAAAGATGATGCAAGTAAGGCATCCAAGAGTAGCCCAATGGCAGATCCACAGAGGAGATTAACTTAGGGCAATTTTCCTATAATGCTAGGGAGCTGAAGATGCCCTACATCTCTTTTTGCTTCCTTTCATAACCCTGGGGTTCATGAGTCCCTTTTGAAAATGCAAAAAAATCCCACCAGGGAACACACATTAAGCAATTATTAACCTATACTCAAATTATCAGAATGAGGGGGTATAGAGGGTGAGGAAAGGTACAGACAGCTTGAGAAACCAAAGTGGCAATTTTCAGAAATATTTTGGAAAGGTACTAAAGATAAATCTCAGCTACTTCACTATGATGTTTCAGCAGCTGGGCCACTGACACTCAAAATTTTTTCAGAAGTGCCACAGGTTACCATACCCTATTAGTTCAGTAGTAATATTAGTAAAGAACCTAACCCCTTTATATAACAACATTCCTATGGAAACATGCGAGAGTAATAAATAAAACTACCATATTAATCAAAGATATTACTATCCCTGACATCCACTACCATGGCCACATTGACTTACAAAACTTTAGGGTGATGATGTGTGTCTTTAAACCCCTGCTATCTTCCCTAAAGGCAACTTTTTCCTCCACCCTGGTCCTATATCCATTCTAATATTTAGCAAGATGCAAAAGACATTGTTATAATAATAAAGACAATAATAAAAGTTCCTCAAACTCACCAACTTGTCGGAGCTTCATCATCTCCCATTTCTCCTTCCTCTACTTCCATTCCTTCATCTCTATCCTCAATGTGCTTTAACAAAAAACAAAACAAAACAAAAAGGACAATGCTAGTTTTCAGGGACATGAACAATGCTAGAATTCTAGATCACCACATTTAACAGGTAGCCACTATTATGGCAGTTTGGGGATCATGAAATATTATAAGCTACTGTAGACACCACTTTAAGACTTCTAATAATGCCTGACGCTTCAGGGTGAGATGATCTTTGAAGTGTCACGTCAGCTCAGCATTCTAAAGCTATAATGTAGTCATGAAGACAAAGGAAGATGATTTAAGCCACACTGAATCCAGACTTGTATGTTCCCTCCTATTCCCCAAGTTCAAGACTAATATCCATGACATATAAGCCATTTCTAATTTAGGGGGTTCCATACATGCTGAGTAAGCAATGCCCAGTGGTCACAAGCATTTTTAACTTCCTACTTCCACTGTCTGGGATTTTTCTTCGATTCTCCTTCAAAGTTTTCTAGCTGCTTCCTGGGACCACTACCTTTGTCACCACCATCACTCCCATCTTATCCCATTCCCCCCTTTCCCCTGACTGTCCAAGGTAGTGTTTTCAGTGGCTGTAGGGCTAAAAGCACAGGGGAAGCTATGGAACTCATTTTTGTTTTACACAACAAGGACCAGAGGATGACAAAAAAAAAATCTCCATTCAAAAGCAAAAGATATTAGAAGTCAAAAGGGAAAAAAGTTGAAAGAGAAGTAACCAGTTATCAGCCAAGAAAAAAGATTATTCCTTGGAATTTACAGGGGGAAAAGGCTTAATCTTTTTTTCCTTCATGGACCTTCTCAACCTTCAAAATGGATCCAAATGCAGAAGGAGGAAATTCTGGTTTCCCAAGCTGAGCATTAAATGGTTTCCTAGAGCCATACTGTACAAGCTAGTGTAGATTCCATAATAACTATTAGTATAATATTACACATTAGGCACATGAACTATATATATCAAAATCAGCCTCAATTTTCTAGTTTGCTTTAGAAATGTTTTTAATATGTCCCCACCTGAAGGGTAAGTGTACCAGAAATTTCCAAGTTTAATTCAAGACTAATATGCTATAAATCTTTATAAAGAAAATGTGCTAATGCTTTATGGCTCTCAATAAAAATGCATTTCCATTCTAATTGACATCAGGTCTTCTTCAAAAACAAACTTAAAATATTCAGTAAGCAAAATTCAAAACAGTTCTCACCTTCTGACCCAAGGTGCTCTCTTGTTCATTGGTGTTGAAAACAGTGACATTTTCAAGATTAAACTGACTTTGTAAGTTAAGGCCTGTTTAAAAATAAACAAAAACATGTATGCCATAATGAAAGAGCTTATTAGTATCAAAACACTCTAAGACCTGAAGTACTTTTAGCAGGAAGGAAACACGTGATATAAAGTTAAAGCAACAGCAAATTAATCTAAAAATCAATCTACATCTTTACAGACAGAACTAAAACCAAGCCACTGGTTTGCAAATCCTTTTTGAAATTCACTTTATAAAGAGGTATCTTCAAAGAAAACCTGTTAGTTCTTTAACTCTAACTTTAGAAAACCACAGAATATTAAGAGTAGCTTCCTTATGTATATTACCAATTCTGGAATGAAGAGGGATTGTGAAGTAATTCTGGAATGAAGAGAGATTGTGAAGTATCTTTGAAATATAATGAAAATGGACTGCAAACAAATAGGAAAGGTTGGAGAATGGCATGGTGTTTAAACTCTGCTTTCACTTTATACTTATGGCAAAGGACAAAAACAAAAACAGTAATACCTTTCTCACAGATAATACCTGGCTCCATTTCAAGATACTTGAATCCATGATTTATACCCAGAGTAATGGAGCTCACCCAGCCACAATTATCTTGTCATTTTGTGTAATTCTTATCCAAGTTTTTTATTAAAATAAATTTTTCTATCACATAATTTTTATATTATTTTTAACATAAATTTTTAAAAAATAATATATTTATTAAAACAGAAATTAAATTATTAAATGAAATTTAAATTTTTTAAAATTAACTTTTATTAAATTTATTAAAATAATTGATTAAATTAAAGAGTTACCCAACATACCTAGATGCTCCCTACCTTGCACACTTTTAAGCTGTCTGGGGAGTACGAAAGAATAAGTTGGAAAGGCATGTCAGAACACATCTAGTCCAACCCTTATCTAAACAAGAATCTCTTCTTATAACACAGCTAACAACTGAGTCCTCAAGCCCTTGACTGATGACTTTCCATGGGAGAAACTATCTTCTAACACAATTCATTCTATTCTGATTGTTAGGAAACTTTTACTTATGTTAAATCTCTGAAATTTCCATTTATTCCTAGTGCTGCCCACTGGGCCAAGCAAAATAAATTCTAATTTTTCTTTGGCATAACAGCCTTTTAAATACTCAAAGACAGCTGTTATAACTCCCAATACATCTTTTTTAATAGGCTAAATCTACCAGTTTCTTTAGCTGATCCTTATGTGGTATGGTCTCAAGGACACTGTCATCATCCTGGTCAATCTCCAGTTTATCAGAATTGTTCTTAAAATGTGGTACCCAGATCTAAATACAATAATTCAAATGCAATCTAGCTGAACAGACTAAAGAGGGACCATCAGGTCCTTAGTCATGAATATTGCTTCTTGTAATCCAGCGAAAAATCATATAGATTGTCGTGCTATCCTATTATTCTGTTGACTCAGAAACTGCAGTCTACTAAACCCTCTCAAACCTTCAGATAAACTACCTAATCATCTTGTACTTGCAGAGATGATTTTATGAATTCAAGTATAAGACTTTATATTTATCTCTTTAAATTTTGTCTTATGAGACAGCAAGTGTAGTAGATAGAAGGTTGAATTTGGAACCAGAAAGAACTTGGTTCAGTTCTTGCTTCTGACACACAGTAGTTGAGTGATCACAAATGAAATCACTTAACTTTTCAAATCCCTCAGCCATCCAAGACTTTAGGTTACAGAGCAGTTGGTCATCTGTGCTGGTGGAACTGAGTTTCCGTACCACGAGGTCCCTATATAGATGAAATCATAAGTCTGGACAAAACACAACCGCATTTCATCTCATGAGCTTTAGTTCAACATGCCTGTCCAGGT